TTTTTTTAATCTTTCATTTTCATCTTTAAGAGCTTTTAAACTGTTTAAAACTCTGGATTGTGGTGTTGACGACATTTACGATTTGTGATTTATTAAACTAAATATATTTAAATTCATTTAAGTTTTGTGAAACCTTTTACTTCTAAAAGTAGGAAGTTGTTCTTCAAATTTTTTACATAATTCAACTAGTTCGTTCATTTTTTAGTCCAACGTAGCATTTTTATTATACTCAGCACGTAAAGTATTTAGACATTTTTCTATTTGTTCTTCTATCTTTTTTAGTTCATTTTCTAATGTTTCAGAATTATTTTTTTTTAATTCTTCATTTTCTTTTTTTAATTTACTAATTTCATCGGTCAAACAGTTAAAATCTCTTTGGATATGATTAACTTGTTCTGAACCACTTTTACTTGGTAGTTGAAGAACTTTTTGTTTACTTTCAGTGTTTTTAGACATTTTGTTTAATAGAATCTTAAATTTTAATTATCTTAAAATATAAATATAAATTTAATTTAAAATTATTTTATATTAGAAATAATATTACATACATTAACTAACAAACTTATTTTTGATTTATGTTAATATTATTATCATATTTAATATCTAATAAAGATAAAGAATGATCAATATCTTGTTCGAGCTTTACTATATTTGTTTGTTTGAATAATATCAAATATATTATTTTGTTAACGTTCTGATAAAGATCATAAAAGTTACGTAATATTTCGTTGAGCCATATGTTCTATATAGTAATTTTCAGATATAAATCTAAAAGAAAATTTAATGTTTGATAAGTTACAAAACAAACGAAAGAATATTTAACAAACCATAACGAACCAAAACAAACCAATTAAAAATTTAATCATCTTTTTTGTTTATGAGTTTATAAATTGTTATTCTACGAATATTTAAACTTAAAATATTTTATAAAACTTTAATTTGTGATCAAATTAAACTATAAAAGGTATTTAATTAATCTATACAATCTTATTTGCTATGAGAAAAGTTTTTTAATCAATCCACAAAAGGCAATCTCGTACAATTTTATCTAGCGAGAAAGTTATTTTTAATCAATCTACAAAAGGCAATCTCAATTTTTGTGAGAAAGTTCTTTTAATCTAATCCACAAAAAGCAATCTCATAAAATCTTATCTGCTGCGAGAAGTTCTTTTAATCAATCCCAAAAGGCAATCTCATACAATCTTATCTGCTGCGATGAGAGAAAGTTCTTTTTAATCAATCCCTAAAAGGTAATTTAATACAATCTTATTTGCTGCGAGAAGGTTTTTTAATCAATCTACAAAAAGCAATCTCATACAATCTTATCTGCTGCGAGAAAGTTTTTTATCAATCCACAAAAGGCAATCTCATACAATTTTATCTAGTGAGAAAGTTTTTTAATCAATCTACAAAAGGCAATCTCATACAATTTTATCTAGCGAGAAAGTTTTTTAATCAATCCACAAAAGGCAATTTCAACAAATCTTATCTACGAGAAAGTTTTTTTAATCAATCCACAAAAGACAATATTATACAAAAGTTAATCTTATATAATCAATCACAAAAAGTAATTTGATACAAATCTTATCTGCTGCAAGAAAGTTTTTTTAATCAATCTACAAAAAGCAATCTCATACAATCTTATCTGTTGTGAGAAAGTTCTTTTAATCAATCCACAAAAGGCAATCTAATACAATCTTATCTTCTTGAGAAAAGTTTTAATTTACCCCACAAAAGACAATCTCATACAATCTTATCTTCTTGAGAAAGTTTTTTAATTAACTCACAAAAGGTGATCTCATTGCTATAAGAAAGTTCTTTAATCAATCCACAAGGCAATTCTATACAATTTTATCTGTGTTAAAAAAGTTCTTTTAATCAACCTTTAAAAGACAATTTCCAATTCATTTAACAAAATTATTCTAGAAAACAAAAGGATTATTTTATCGATTCAAAAGCATGATTTACGACTTAAAAAAATATATATTGTTCGAAAAGAAATAAAAGAGCGATCTAATTTTCTTCGTAACGATGTGTTTAATCCTCAAATATCTCTTCAAGTTAAATTTACAAACAAATTTCTTTTCAAAATGTTTCCAAAAATCTTTATATTCTTCTTTTTTTTCTGTGTAATTTTTGGTTTGTTTCTTACAAACCTTTTTGAAAGTGAATATCAACTTGATATTTACCAAATTTTTAACAAAATTCTTTCGTCAAAAATTTTTTTTTGGGGTTTTGTAGTTATTATTTATTTAATAACTACAAGTTTAATTATTACATTATACTCTTTTTGGTTCTGGAATTCGTTAATAAGAACTTTTCCAGAACATTTTATATATTGAAAATTTCTTCAAATTAAAGAAGAAACAAACGTTTTCATATTTGACGAGAAAAATTTCCGAAGCCAACGTCAATTAAACAATACGAAGAAATTCACAAGAATAAATAAGGTCGAAGTTGTTTGAATATTATCAAAAATTAGCAATTCGAATTGAACGAAGAAGAATATTGTGTATCAAAAATTTTAAAGTTGATAAACGTTTTCAACTTTCAAATTACTGGAGAAGATTTTATTGAAGCTGACAAATTTAATACTTTGTCTTAAGAACATTATATTTTTTTCGTTAATAAGAACTTTTCTAGAACATTTTATATAAAGTTTTTTGAATTGAGGAAGAAACAAATTCGTTTCCTTCCTCAACTGACAAGCCAATTATCTAATATATAACCATGACGTATCTTAAAAAAATAAGAATTTGGCAGCCTTAAAAGATTTTCTGTTGAGAAAGAATATTGTCATGAGAAACATCACACAAACAACTTTGAACAATTAGCTTCTTCTTTATTGAAACTGACAAATTTGATACAATTTGTCTTCAAAATTGGTGACTCGAAGAAACGTCGATAAATAATGGGTTTAAATAATCTATTATTAAGTAAATATTAGATGATTTTTAAACAATTAGAAATCAATTGTTTTTAGAATTTATTTTTGTAGATTCGAATATTTTTATTGTTTTATTTATTTAAATTAGTTAATATTTACAAATTTATTTACATGTAATAATAAGAACTGAAATCCCAGAACCCCTCTTTATCTATAACTCTTCTATTTTTTGCATATTTATTTATAATTATATTTTTAAAATTATTATTTCAGACAATTTTATATGAGCCTTCTAATTTCTATTTAATATTCAAATCTGTTAATCATCAAACTCGAACTGGTATTTTATTAACTTTTAATCCCCTTCAAATTGCTTCTTGAAATACATAAAGTCAACGATAATCTGAAGAGAAGATTATATCATCGATAATACAGACTTGAATATATGGGAAATCTTCAACTTGGACACTACCACTAACAAGATCGTTAATGGTTTCTTCAACATTTCTGCTATTCTGAAAAGAAGAGTTAATTGTTGATTGGCTGAATAAAATCTCAAATGGGTTCATCATCATTGTATAATCTCTGTCAGCCAACCTTAATTTTAATATAAGGATTCTTATTTGAAGAAGTAGAAGACTCCTGAGAATCCATACGAAAATATTTAAAAAAGGAGCTAAGATAATAATTAGAATTAACAAAGTTAATTCTATTTGATAGTTTATGCTCGATTCGACAAGCATATTTTGAGAAGAATCAGTTGATTGATTCTCCTCTACGGTTTGGTTACTGTGACTATTTGAAGATTTTTCTTCTTCAAATTTTTCTGAATCGACCATATAGGGGGGTCGATTTTCGTTCCAAGAGTTTTCGTTTTCTTGAGAAATATTATTCCAATGAGAGTTTATCTCTTCTTCTCATTGTTGATATATTTCATTATTTTCATGTTTAAAACTAATTTCTTCTTCAAAAACAATATTTAGTTTTTCATTATTTTTTGTTTCTTGTTAATGAGTTTTTTTAATAAAGATATTTAAAATTATTAAATTTTTATTAAGTTGTAACTGCGAAAGTTAGTTTCTTTTGTAGAAAATTGTTATTTAAATAATGTTTTTTTTTAATTTACTATTGTTAAATAAAAATTAATAAATTTTAATTGATAATTTAATTTTTTCAAGTTTAGAAAAATTAAAGATAAGTGAATAAATATTGAATAAATATTACTTCTGATATAAAAAGATGATATTTTTACAAAAAATCCATTTATGTAATAAACTTTGTAAAAGATAAACAAGTTTTTATAGAAAATTTATATGAACCAATCAATTTTAATATATATAAAAACTATAAAAGAAAAAGATATCATGAACCTGATCAAAATATTTTTACGTAATTTTTTAATTTTAATAATAAAAATATTTTATGTAATTTTTGATGAACCAATTAATTTACATACTCTTTAAATTTCCAAATCTGAATTACAAAAATGGCAATTATTAAATTGTGAAATTTTTAATTACTGATAAACTTTAAAAGGAAATATAAAATTTTTAATGAACCAATTGAAATTATTTTCATTTTTTATAAAGAGAAAATAATTTACTGTTTTCTAAACCAAAACTTTAAACAAAATGCCTAAAGAAAATCGAAATCACAAATTTGTCACTGAAAAAGTCACCGAATATTCATATTCTTCATCTTCTAAAAATAAAAAACCTGAACGGTTAATCAGTTACGAAGAAGAAAAACATTTTCATAAACAACAACAAAAAGAACTTGAAAAGAAGATTGAAGAGATTAACAAAGCATCTCTTCAAAACATCAATCGATTACAAGAAGTTATTGACGAACAAAATAATTTACTTGATAAATTATTTGAAGAATTTAATTGGATTGAGAATTTTTATGGCCCAAGTTTTCAATATGCGAAATGGGCTTATCAGAATCAACTAAAGGTTGATTCATTCGAAAGTCATCAAGATGAGAAAGTTATCGATGACAATATTTATTTAAATCATAAAGTTTCAGTTAATTCTATCGAAAACAATATTGGAGAAGATAATTTTAGTTATTCTGAATTTTTATATTTTTCTGATAATGATCCTTTAAATAATGATTGAATAATTGTAATTTTCTAAATAGTATTTCAAACCAATTTTGTATTACCATTTATAAATAATTTTTATAATTAAATAAAACTATAAAAGAGTCAAATGTCACTGTCAGCGAAAAAAAAAATTAAATGGGTCGTGATCAAAGATTTCTACATATCATGTCAACTGTATACTACTGTGTTCCTTGTTTGACGTGTTTTAAATATAAGAAAAATATGACTGAAAAAGAAAAAATCGAACGTGAAGATGAATATTTACGAACGGGTGCTATCTCTACATGTGATAAATGTAAGAAACAACACTGGCACTGTAAGCTAGCATCCTGTGATCAATATTGCAAATTGAACCAATGCAACAAGATTAGATGTTTTTATTGTAAAAAATTAAATATAAAATGTCAACGCGTCTTACCACAAAATAAAGAAGAATTTGCGGTATTGGAGAAACTTGGTTTGATATACGTCTCTGGTCAGTACAAAGTGACTGATTCAGGAAAATTTCATGAACAGGCATATTTTCAATTTGATAAATGCCAAACCATAACTGGTGTAAAGAAATTATTTGGTCATAACACGATGAATTTTCCCAAATTTTTGAACAGTGATTCAGACCAGAATCACGACTATAGTCAAAAGAAATGGAACTGATGCAAGGATCCTAAACACAAAAAAAAGTGTTGCTGTGATTTTCAAGAGAAAAAAAAAATTTGCGATGTGTGCAACAAGGACTGTATTGAGAAAAGAACTTTAGCACGTTGGAAAGCCTCAGAATTATCGAGCGAGAAAAATGGATTTTGGGCATTTGGAAACTATCGCTACTTAGCTTTTTCAAATGAATTAAAAGGTTTTGACGAGATTAATGAAAAATGACTAGAGGATATGAAAAGAATCGATTATATTATAGAAAACAATTTAACTATAGAAGATATATTAAAAAACAAAAAAGACTTGTTGCCTCGTAGTTGGTTACGAAGTTTGAAAGATTTAGAATTTTTTCTCAAAAAAGAAAAGGAAATAAGAAAAGTAAATATGAAAAGATTTTGGCGTCCTTGTACAATTTATATCTTCGGACCAGGAGGAAGTGGTAAGAGTAGTTTGGTTCAAGAGTTATTTGGTGATTGTCTCTATTCAAAACCTCAAAAGCAAAAAAATGATTCAAATTGGTTTGATGGTTATGACAAACATGAGATTGTTTTATTTGATGAATGGTACATGACAATTGGATGGTCAGATATTGTCAAGTTATTAAATGATACAGATAAACAAGTTGAGATAAAGCATAAAGGCTTTGTTTTTTTTTTTTTTTTTTTTTTTTTTGGTGTTAAGGTGAGGCCTTGCTCATATCTTTATTAATAATTTTTAAAATAG